CCGGGTAATCTCCGAAACGGCTGGTCGGATTTGGACCGGACTTTAACCTGAAGGGTAGCTGACATAGACACGCATATTACAGGCTACTTTTTATCTTAATTGCGTGGTCGAAGTCACGTGTAACATCTAGTATGCAATAAATTTACCTCAAAGGTCATTTTCGAAGTTGTTCTTTGGCTTAACTGTGAAAACATCTCTCATCTCTGTCTTTCTCCTTGGAGTACCTGAAAAAACAATACATTTGTACGGATTGCCACAGACATTTACGGAAAGTAAATCAATAGAACATGCAAAGCTCGACCTTGGCAATAACGTTAGTGCCTGGTACGAAAGCAAACAGCCAAGTAAATAACTTATAATTAAATAAAAATAGTACCTTCATTTTGATATCAGAGACAGATATATGGAGCGATATAATTATTATACATTTTTATTGAATTTCGTCAAACCTTTTAGGTAACTAATTGAATTCAATAGAAATAAGTAATCATAACAAACATATCTAAACAATTTTAAATTTATCATAGATTTTTTAAAGATACTAGCTTTCGCCCGCGAATCAGTCCGCGTGGAGTTAAAAAAAAAGTGAGTAGCCTATGTATTCTTCTAGACTATTCTCTGCATCTATACTAATTTTCATCAAAATCCGTTCAGCAGTTTAGGCTACAAACTCTAACAAACATCCATCCATCTAAACATTCGCATTTATAATATTAGTATGATAGTAAGATTCGTTACCACTAATTTAAACTCTGAAATGTTCCAAAATAAATCCACAGATAATAAATGACGTTATCAGACAGTTATGTGTAAATAATTTCTCATTTCCGATTAATTCGACCATATCTATACTACTATTGTAAAGAGGAAAATTTGTATTTTTAAAAAAATATTGCGCTGATTTTAAAAATTCTTTACCATTACAAAGCTAATTTATTTGTGAGTAACATAGGCTATATTTCTATTGTTTTTTAAATCCACGCGAACGAGGTGGCGAGCAAAAGCTAGTAACTAATAAAAAAACATTATATGATAATTAAAAAAAACTGAACATAGTTAATAATTGTATGAGTATACAAACATTAAACCTGCAACTGAAACGAAAAACACGAACTCGCATTTGTAACTGTCATCGATAAATCTTCACATCCGGCGTAGGATTTTAATTAAAAAAATATACGCATCAATTACGGCCTTGTCATATACCTTGATGTTCACACGAGGACAGTACGCCACTCACTGTCAGTCTCACAGTTTACTGTTCAAACAATTGTACTCTATTGTCTACTCTGTTCTGCCCTTGTGTGAAACCAGCGTTAAATTGTCCCTCTATGATTGATTTAATAATGTCATGGCTTATTATTAACATTTTATCTTAAACTAGCTGTTCCCGTGCGGCTTCATCCGCATATAATTATAAAAAAATTTATTTATTGTTTACATTTGTCAAATTATCAACAGTAAATGTCAAAATGACATGACATGACAAACCTTGACAATCTTGCTTCCTTGATGTTGGCAACAACTTATGGTCTCTTTCCCACATTAGGGTTTTTATCCCCCTAAGTTTAATGGCGTGAACATATATAGCCTAAAGCGTAACGTAAGTCTAGGGTTTTTTATTAAAAAAAGAATTATTCAAAAATATATTGTAATTGCTGACATCTTAGGGAACAAAGAAATGTGTGTTTACGCTTTATTATAATAGTATAGATATAGATTATAATAGTATAGATGACATCGTAATATACTTTGAAGTTAAGAAAATATTCCTGTTTTATATAAGGTGACAACCGTGACACACTATACGATTTTTAGCTAACACCGACTGTTTTTAATGCTTTCAGAAAGAAATATTACATTAAAAGAGAATTGTGAAACACTTTTACTATGATTTTTTTCTCTATTTATTCAAAGAAATTAGGAGAAGAGGTTATCTATACTTCCATACTTGGGGCCTGTCCCACCACTGGATAAAGGTTCAGATAACTTAAAAATGACTCTACTACTCTCAGTACCATATAAGGGAACAAGATTCGATTATTATCAGACAACTTACAATGTGGTGGGACAGGTCCTTAATATAATAAAGCGTAAACACACACCTAAGTTATGTAGAATGTCAGTAATCACAATACATCTTTGAATAACCTTTTTTAATGAAATGCCCTACATTTACAACACTTTTAGGCTATCTATATTCTCGCTTTTAAGCTAAGGGGTAAATAAATTGTAAGAAATTATCATGCGGGAAAGGGACAAGAACTACAAGATAACGGTTACCGTTTTGACATTTGATGTTCAACATTTTACGAATGTAAAAAATAAAATAAAGTTTTCTATAATTCCATGCGGATGACGACGTAAGGGAACAGTTTTTGTTATAGTATAAAAGTGTTACTACAGTGTACAAGATATTCATTACGATTGAAAAGTACGAAGCAATTGCATAATACCGCAGAATGCGAACCTTTGCTCCCGGCCGAGTATTGATTTTGTGCGGTCTATGCAGCTACGGGCTACGGGCTACGGCGTAGCGATGTAGAGGTCTCCGTGCGTTTACAATCACTTCATGTATTTACTGAAAAAGATAATTTAAAACATTAGGAATTTAATGGCTATATTTCAATTTATTTACTTAATCTATGGGTAGATAGAAATAATACCCGATTTAAAAATATATCTATCGAGGTACTGTAATACAATTTTAAACAACTAAATTTAATTATAAATCAACAATATTATTTGAAAATTAGAATTAATTTTCTTTACAGTATAGGGTAATTATCTTTTAAACACGGAATGACGCGACGTCAATTGCCACTAGGGTTGCCATAAATAAAATAATTTACCTAAAATCTACCAAATTAAAACAAAATAAATACTTAAAAGCTAAAAAATAATAGCATAATTCATAATTGAATTAAATTCTTATAGATTTTCAAATGATATGTACAAATAAAATATTACATAACAATAACATGTAACTAAAAATTAAAGTGAATTGGTATTTATTAAGCTACCACTTAACATTGGGATTGTGTTGTGGCTTAACAAATTTAAGAAAGGAAGAAATATCGTTTAAAAACCTTAATATAAAAGGCTAAGGGCCTATCCTACTACTGGTTAATAAAGTCTCAGATAGCTTAAAAATGACGTCACTGTCAAATAAGCAACAAAATCCGATATTTCCATCACATATTTTATAATCTGGATTGTTATTAGACAATTTACAATTTGGTTGGACAGACAATAACAGGGGCTGTTTTCAGGGGCATTTCTCATCCCGTTCCTGATCATGCTGGTGCTAGAGGGGATCCCGCTCTTCTTGATAGAGATGGCTATCGGTCAGAAGATGCGCCTAGGGTCCCTTGGTGTGTGGAACACGATCCACCCCTGGCTGGGCGGCATTGGTATCTCTAGCTGCATTGTTACTCTCTTCGTCGCTCTCTACTACAATGTCATCATCACTTGGGTCTTCTTCTATCTGTTTAATAGTATTCGGGTAAGTTCATTTTCTTTTGTTTATAGTCTCTTAAAGTTTCTAAATCTTATGCTTTGTAGTTTTAATGTCATGTCTCATTTGCTGTACTTAATGTTGCTAAATGGTTACCTTGCTGTAAATTTTTGCACTAAATCTATCCTAAGAAGGACCAATTAACAACTGTAAGAGTGTGTTAACAAACATAAGAAAACTTGTGCTTAAACCTGAATAGAGAAACTCCAACGTTTGGAAGTTGCAAAGTCCAGATTTCACTTCTTTGATAATATCTTCAGTTATCAGCCGACCAGCTGCCTTGGGCACATTGTCCTCAAGACAACAGTTCAGCGGAGATCGAATGCAGCAAAGCATCCGCCACAGTATACTACTGGTACCGAGAGGCACTCGACGCGTCGCCCAGCATCGAAGACCCCGGCGTGCCTCGCTGGTGGATCGTGCTGTATCTCTTGTTAGCCTGGATCATCGTCTTCTTTATTGTCATGAAGGGTATACAGAGCAGTGGGAAAGTAAGTGGTGTACTGTTATGTAACATATAGACATCTCTTTCATTCTTTTTAAATAAGACAGATGATACAGAAGATAATGTATTTTACGTTACGTTACGTTACGGTACAAACCATTTTTTTTTTACGAAATTTTTAATTATTAGACATTGTTTATTTAAATTTGTTAAAGCCCACATAAACAGAATGAGTCGCTAAGATAGAAAGAGATGGGGAGCGTAAGAAACTCTTTCTATTTACGTCAGTTATATGCTTTTGTTTTTCTAACGTTCTTTTCTTTTCATGTAATGTCCAGGTGGTGTACTTCACTTCGTTATTCCCTTACGCCGTGTTAACCATCTTCTTTATCCGTGGTATTACTCTGCCGGGTTCTGCCGACGGAATCATACACATGTATAAACCTAAGGTATGTTCCAATATACTATTCAGAGCGCGCGCACACCTTGGACTAAACTATCGCACAACTGCTTAGTTGTGCAACTAAACAGTCCAGGCTGCGAAACAATCGACAATCGAACAACAGTTGTGCGATAGTTTAGTCGAAAGTGTACGTCCGCTCTTACTCTACTTTCTACGGAAATCAGACGTTCCATTATGACCAGACAAGACAACAATTCAGCGGAGATCGAAAGCAGCCAAACTTAACGACAGAACCGTTTTTTTTCTGACTGCTGAAGGAACTACTTCTCCTACTCCTCTTTATTAAATATTTTAAATTTGTATCTATCGTCGTCGTAACGTCTACTATATTAAATAAATAAATTCCAGCTCGGGAAGCTCCTAGATCCAACAGTATGGCTGGATGCAGCAACTCAAGTGTTCTACTCATTCGGGCTTGCGTTCGGTTCCCTCATCGCCTTCGGTTCCTACAACCCGCCCAACAACAACTGTGTGAGAGACGTCCTCCTCGTTTCCGTGTGTAACGCTCTCACTGCGATCTACGCCTCTGTAGTCATCTTCAGCATCCTCGGCTTCAAAGCTTACACTATGGTCGAGAAGTGTATGACCAAGTAAGTGATATTTTATTATAAATCATCCATCTATGAGCTCGAGACTTTCAATAGGCTATATAAGCTGACTACTGCTATCGGCTAAACAGTACAATGAAAACTTTATATATAGAATAGGTGACAATATTCCAATGAGATCCGAAACTCTTAAACTTGACAAAACTTCTAATCTTTTTATGTGCTGCATCATGTCAGAAGGTAAAATAATTATACAGTGTCATTGAAAATATTAAGGCTTGATGTTGTAGTAAACATATACTTATAAAAGTTTTACAGAGTATAATTTCTCTTTCAGAGAAATCAAAGTGTTGGCAATGCACCAGATCGGTGGCTTCACTTTGAACTCTACTTTCGACTACTACAAGGAGGAGTTCCCAACTTTGAACAACACCGTTGTCTCCGCATTCAATCTCACCGGCTGCACCATGAGTAGGCAACTTGAAGAGGTGAGCTCAATCGATACATATTTTTATATAGTGATAGCTGTTCCCGTGCGGATCCATCTGCATGAAATTAAACATTTTTATTTTATTGTTTACATTTGTCAAATCTTCAAAAGCAAATGTCAAAATGACATGACATGACAAACCTTGGTAATCTTGTTTCCTTGATGTTGGCAGCAACTTATAGTGTCTATTCCACATTAGGGTTTTTATCCAAAATAAATAGCCTTAAGCGTGATGTAAATGTAGGGTTTTTTATTAAAAGAAGAATTATTCAAAAATATGGTGTAATTGCTGACATCTAAGGCAACAAAGAAGTGTGTGTTTACGGTTTATTATAATAGTATAGATGTATGATATGACATATTTAACATATGCCTCGCAGACTTTTCTGTAGAACTTTTTGAAATCCACTATTCTTTAATACATCATTTTTATATATCTCTAACGGTTTAAGCAGCGTAAGCCGAGAAAAGTTAAAACATAGTGATTTTTAACGCCCTGGTCCCGAAATATGTTGTTTATTAGTTCCTCAATATTAATAATAAAATAAAGCCTATGTCACTCAAATATAAATTTCCTTTCTAATCAGGTAGCAATATATGTTATAAAAAAATAATATACCTTGTTCTCTTTGCAGGCGGCTGAAGGAACTGGGTTAGCTTTCATCGTGTTCACTCAAGCCATCCTCAAACTGACCCCAGCTCCGTTCTGGTCGATCATCTTCTTCTTGATGCTGCTGTCACTGGGCTTGGGCAGCCAGATCGGTATCATGGAGGGCATGCTGTGCACCATCTTCGATATCGATTTCTTCAAACGGATGAGCAAACCTGTTATTACTGGTAAGATTTTTGTCAAATCCATAACTTTTAGTCATAAACACCTTCCTATCTTTTACTATTCTCGGTTAACAGTAATGCGTTTGTCTTCAACTTGAGTACACTTTTATGTCCTACTTTTTAAATCTCTAGATCTTTTGTGGACCCTAGAGGTTCTGCAAACTTTGGTAATCATCTGTGATTATATTTACCTAACATTATATTTTTGTTCTTTCTTATTGTAGGTGCTGTGTGTACTTTCTGTTTCCTCGTGGGGCTGATCTTCACGACGGGCGCGGGCGAGTACTGGCTGAAGATGTTCGATTCTTTCGCCGGCACCATCGGTCTTGTTGTGGTGGCGTTGCTCGAAATGATTGCTGTCGTATACATTTATGGTCACGAGAAGTAAGTGTTCTTGTCTATAATATTATTCCAGTACTATACTAGCTTTCGCCCGCGACTCCGTATGCGTGGTATTAAAAAAAAATACCCTATGTGTTCTACTAAACTATGTTCTACATCTATGCCAAATTTCATTCAAATCCGTTCAGCCGTTTAGGCTATAAACTCTATCTTTACAACGTTAGTGAGATTTAAAGAAACGAATAAAATGTGAGAGTGTTTCGGCAGTGGAAACAGACGATTAAACTGTGATTTACCGCTACAGTTAACCATTGTACTCATCAATCATGTTGAAACGACATATGTTTAAATATTTCTAACCTTGAGATGCCGGTAAAGGTTTACTATGTCAACATGCGTAAATATCACGCTGAATATGCTTTTGGCTGCCAAACTGTTCAACCTTGACGTGTTGAAGTGACAGAGCTCATAACGTCACGATTTGTACTAGATGTACTTTATAGAGCGGAGTTAACAAGATACGAATCGACTGAGAAGCACTAGACACAAAGTATTAAATACTAGTGCTACTAGTAAATAAAAAAAATAAACAATACTTCATTAACAATCTACCATATATTATCTATACCAATAATTTAAGAGGAAACATTTGTATTTTTGGATTCTTGTATGTTTTAAAATAACCCAAAAATGGGCCGATTTCAAAAATTCTTTCACCATTAAAAAGCTACGTTATCAATGAGTAACATAAGCCATTTTTTTATTTTTTTTTTAATTTCATGCGGGTTAAGTTGCGAGCAACAGATAGTAAAAAATATACAGTATATTTCTCGCTGATAACGTAGCTTTTTGATGATGGGAGGATTTTTTGATATCTGTCAAATTTTTAGATATTTAAATACATACAAAAATACAAATAATTAGTATAGATTTATAAATATGATATTTATAATTTTGTCCACACCTATCGTCTAAAGTGACTCAAACTTTTTAGTGGGTTAACCGAATTAATACATTTAACTCCACTTAACCCTATTACTGCCGCAGGTTCACTAATGACATCTACGAGATGACTGGCTACCGTCCCGGCTGGTACTGGCAAGTGACCTGGCGCTATGTGGGACCCTTCATCGTGACCTGCATTCTACTGTCTTCTTTAGTCTTCATGCTCATCATACCTCCTACATACGGAGCTTGGAATGCCGCTGAGGTACTTACGTCATATTATTGCTATGAATAAGTAATTTAATAGCTTTTTTACGATTTAACAACTTAATAATGTCAGTCGATTGTAATCAAATTATTAACTTGCATTATATTAGGAAAACGATATTAATTTTCATCCAAAAAGAACCGATCAAAAGGTCAAGATAACAGCTATAAAACTGTATTTTAGTCCGAATGCAATAAATTCTATGATTTCATTTGGATATTTTTAACTTATAACGGAACGTAATATCTAGTAATTATAAAGAGGATATAGCGAAAATAATGTTGACTTATGTAACGACGTATTTGTTTAAAAAATTAAGAACATAAAGCCGAGTTAAGAGGTGATCTTAAGGTTGCCAATACTCATGCAAGTAGATAGCACACTAGCCAACTACAGGCATGTGTGAATCTAACTGTATGCCAGTAACTGGCATGATATTTGCTTTCGGGTAAAGAAGGGTCGAAGGGGGTAAATTTGAATCTGACGCTACTCGTCTCATAAGATGTCGTTGACTTCTTGCTGGCATGTTTGATCGTGTTATAACAGTAGCTGGCATACCAGTTCCTATCACATTTACTGGCACGTGTATTTCCGTTCTAAAATATTTTATTTAATACCAGGGTCGCGTTGAGAAGACACCATATCCCAACTGGGTGCTCGGTATCGCAGCCGCCATGATCCTCGCTGGAGTGCTGCCCATTCCAGTGGTACTTATACTGCGTCGCTTCCAGTGTCTTGCGCTCGACGTTGACATCCATCAGGGCTCCATCCGCAGGATTGAAACCACTGTATCCACTAAGGAGATGATGAGTGATCAGGATGTAAGTTAATAAACCATTATTTAACCATTTAAGGTTATGGTAGCAGGGTAAAGGTTAATACCATAGACATTAATATTTTATCTATAGTTATAAGATTCAAGCTTTATGGTGGCTAGTTTTTCGTTAGGTGTATATTCTCGCTGTTACATACTCGTAAAATAGTGTTCTGTGTATCCTTTTGCCTTTGTAACGATTGAATCTTGTTATACCTATATTGAATAAAGTGCCAATACTAACTTAACCAGAACACTGTATATTGTTCGGCTATAAATAAACTTTATATTATTCATAAAATTACATTTTTTGTAATAAGTATTCCGTTACAATTACACAGTTAAAAAATTAACCGTTTACGTAAATATAAGAATACAATCTTGATTTAAAATATAATTTCGTATGCATGTGATATTATCAAGACTTTGTAAGTTTTAATTTCGCATTAAAAGATGACTATTGACGTAAGAAACGCGGCGAAGTGTTCTTTGGTTATGAAAAAATGTATTTTTATTTAATCATATTCATTTAAGTGTTATAAATATGAAAGATCCTTATCATTGTTTTTATATTATTAATAGCTATTTCCGTGCGACTTCATACGCATGAAATTATGAAAATTTTATTTTATTGTTTACATTTGTCAAATTATCAATAGCAAATGTCAAAATGACATGACATGACAAACCTTAGCAATCTTACTTTCTTGATGTTGGCAGCAATTTATGGTCTCTTTCCCACATTAGGCTTTTTATCCAAAATATTTACCCCCTAAGTTTAATGGCGTTAAAATATATAGCCTGTAATTGCTAGCATCTTAGGCAACAAAGTGTGTGTTTGCGCTTTATTATAATAATGTTATTAATAATGCAATTTAAAATGTTAATTATGGACTAAACATTACTTATTACTAACTACTATTTATTTCAAAAATAGCTAATGTAAAAAGTATTTTGCTATTACAGTAATGTATTAATTTTCACAAGGCATAGACAAGCTATTCTTTATTTTGTCTTCTCTCCAATATATTTGAAAAAAATGTAGTAAGTCCCTTTCATACTGCAGGAAAATCTGTACTAAAAAGTATTGACGCCCCTGTCACTCTTTAAATATACAGTTTGGGCAATAGACAATTTAAAGAATAGAGTATCTAGTATTGCTAACTAACCCTGCTAACACAATGTGCCCTCTATGTTGTCTCTGGTGCGCGGCGTCTAGGTGATCTCGCCGGAGACAGCGCCGCCAGCGCCCGCGCAGCTCGTGGCAGAAGCCAGCACTAGGTTCACTATCGGCGACTTCGATGTAAGCACCCTGTACAATGACTTTGGTTTTTTATTTTATTTTTTGTTTATGGCAACTTTTTTTTTTAAATTTTTTTAGTCTGCTGCCAAGCCAGCAACTTTTTAAATAATGATTCTAGTTGTATATTTCTTATTCCAGTTTAATTATTAAATTATAGTATTGTTTAAAATAATATTTCTCACTTATTACCTATACAAAGTAAAGAATACCAGTTTTAATTAAACATTTTTAGATTTTTTATGATTACAGATATTAGTGTGTTTTGTTTGAATTAAAAAGAAACCTTAAACCAATGGCAAACAAAAGTAAACAAACAAAAATGCAGAATTTAACTAATTTAGTTAACTTTTCAAAAGTTGTCATAAATAATTATTTGACCGTTTAAGCAAAAGTCAAAAGTACAGGCACGTACTTACAGAATTATTTTTTAATTTTGTTTTTTTTTTTTTTTTAATGTGGCACTATATAAAAATCACATGTAAATATTGTACCCGATGACTTTAGGGGGTGGACAGCAGTGACGAGAGGCCGAGCAAGCGTGTGCCGAAGTCCATCGCGCGCAGCCGACCCAAGAAATAGATGTTTGTCCGCTCGTACAATTTTATATAGATAAAATAAATGGAGACAAAAATTACTTACATTTAAATACGTATTTATAATTTAATTTTTGTCTTCATTTTTAGTAGTTATGCATATGTAGCTTCTTGTGTCATATGTTTAATTCCCGCACTTTAAGAAGTACATTACTAAAGATTTCACGTACTACAGGTCCTCTTTAGTGACCATTAAACTACACTGAAATCTGTTGTAAATACTTCATAAAAAAAATTTAACAATGCATGACAAAGATTTTTTTTTATGCAAAATTTTCTTCTAGTGACAATTTTCTCCGTAATTCTACAGTAGCTTTTAGCTGCGTTATATTGCCGCTTAGCTATTTATTTTACTTATATGCAATTTTTTTTAGTCTTCAGATTCGGAGCCTGGCGAAGTGAACACGGGCGATCACTTCGACGACTCAAGCAGTAGTGACGAAGAGATTCTAAACACAAAACCAACGGCAACCGGAATACGTCTCGCCATGAAACCTATCGGTCACAAGCCCACAACATTCAAAATGGACGTCGTCGACGATTGACCGTTTTAAAATATCGCTATTAGATATTGTTCTTAGATTACTGGTGATATCTTTACGGATATACAGTAATGCTTTAATATAAGGTAGTTTTAATGATTAACAATTCTTTAGGCCGTGATTACATTTCGATGAAAAGCAAGTGATCATTTTTAATAGTAATTTCTTCTCTGGTTTATACCTAACAGTATTATATATAGATTATAAATAACATACAAGTAAATAACTTAAACGGACTATAAATTCATTAAAATGATTTATATTTCACTCTTGAACTAAAGGATTTGTCTCGACATCTGACAAAAGAAAGACGAAAAAATTCATTACGATTGTTACAATTGAAAATCTTATTTAGCAAAATATAACAAATTATGAATTATCGTCATAACACACGATGTAATTTTAAAGTTATTTTCGTAAACGTAAAAAAATAAAAAAAAATTAATAGTATACGCATTGTTAAGGTAAAAAGCATTTACCCAGATGACTATTAGAGAAAAAACAAAAAATGTAAAATTACGAAACAAAAATAAAAACATCTAAAAAGAAATGTAGGGTGAAATATTAGTATAAAAAATCTGGGACTAGACCTAACGTACTTAAGGACTTCAGAAATACCCAAAATGTTAGTTTTAACTGCAAGGACAAATACTTCATGATGCTTTAGACCTTTATATTAAAATTGCCAGATCATTAATTTAAAATATGTACATTCCCTACCTGTTTCTACTCTGGCTTAAGTCAGGTGAGCAACATTTTAAGAACCTATCTATATCCTTTTTTTGTACCACAATTCTGTTAACGAAAATTTCATCCTGTGGATATGTAATATTAGGGAATGGATATTATTATCCTAATTAGATCGTTGCATATCGGAATTGTTACAGGCAACACTGTCGCAGCTCACTAGCGCCAGCTAGTAAGATATAGTGCGACAATTTTATCTGACCAGGTGATGTTACTACTTCTATCTGGCTCATCAAAACCAGACACCCAATACAAGTCAAGCTGTACAGTACAATAATGCCCACAAGGACATTGGTTTCAAGGCTGCCCTCACTCATGTAGAGCATCAAAAAATGTAAAACAGGAATAAAACCACTTGAAATAGGACAATATTAATAGCTGCTCCCCCTCTTAGATCTTGCCCTCGTCTAGCGATGCCCATGTACAGTACACTTTTTAGTAATTGACAATACTACTAACCTATTACAATTTACTTTGACTCACCGGGTCAGATAAATTTGTCTATCAACGTTGTTCGATATTGTTAGCGTTACGGTATAGGTTAGGACAGTTTAGAAAGACAAAGCTAGTCACTTATTAATTATAGGTTAGTTTAAGCGGTAATTCAAAAGCGATGTAATGTGACTTAAAACTTAGCAAAAATGTCGAATACGAGTTTTGAACAACCAATAATTGCGATGTTAATTCGACATAGCTGAACATCATTAAAAACATTTTTTTTTAATTCAAATATTATTTTTGGAAAAGTTCTCTTATCTTTGAAAACTTTTTAATCCTTGTTTAAATAGGTGAGTGTAACACCAACTCTAAACTAACCTTTTTTTTTTTTTTAAGTGGGGAAATGCGTTACCGCATACCACCGCGCCCTAAGAGGGGAAAGGCGCGGAGGTTATGTTGGGCTCTCTCCCGATAAACGGGTGCCTACCAACTAAAACCCCACTGTCTCCTAAAAACCTAAAAAAATATGTTTGAAACTAGCAAATTTAACAAAGATTATAAAATTTTTGATGGTGTTTACCATGCGTTGAACGCACACTTTTCTTAGACATTATTCCTTTGAGTGAAAACTGCTTTAGACTTAAAGTCTTAAATAAAAAGGTTGTTAACTATAAACAGATTTGAACAGATAATAAACTGTAAAAGCGGGTTTCCATAGTCAACACTTTCAGAAGAAGGAAAATATTGTCTATTACACGCTTACAACTTTGGCATGTTTCAACAATGGAAACCCACAATATCACAAAATATCGTTTTTAATATGTCCAGATAATTTCAGTCTTTAAATATTTCAAATAGAACTAAACGGAACATTTCTATTATGTATTTGTTAAAAAAAAACGGAGTGAAGTAGAACAGGGTGTGGTTATAATCCTACATAAAGCTATTTTAATGTTCATATAATATTTATTTCTAATCTATATTAAAAGTAAATATTATTGTACATAATGTACAGGAATTATGAGTATGTATGTGACATCAGTACTATGACAAATGTTATGCGTCTCTTCCATGTCTAACGATGACGGAAAAATTATAAATAAAACTTAAAGGTTGAAACTTAAATTCAAAAATGTACTTAAACCTTAGGACTGGTACCTTAGGTAAAAATGTTGCCAATTGAGAAAAAAATTCCCCAGAGATAGAGCAAAAGCTGTGTAGAGTACCGGTGCATTCCATTGGAGATCCTGGAACCCCCAAATCACACTCGTGGTCGACCACCGAGGGGGATTTTAGTGACTAATAATCTCACATTTTTCACCCCTGTTTTTTTTTATATAAAAAAGGTAACAATATAGTAAAAAAAATAATAAATTCAAATAAAATTGTTTATATTGATATTTATTTTCAAAGTACAATTATTTTAAAATCATTTATCAAATTTTTCAAACCTTGATTTTACTTTTATTTTAAAACAAAAATCTAGTGTGTACCAGTCCTAATTAACCGAACACAGTGAGACCAGGGCCATACTCTATCGTTAAACATTTAGTAAACTTTCGACAATTTGTACAACAAAAAATAATTCTTAAATACGCCCCTGTCGTGATTTGGCGCTAGTAGCGTGAAAATTCATAACCAACGCCCGCCAAAAGTGGCACGTTCCTGGTCTTTCTGTGAGATGTTGTGAAGAACGAAATAAAAAAATAATTAAGGCGTTGTTTCTGTTAATGCGTAGATAGCTTAGGGATAACATCCCGCCCAATAGTTGTAGTAAGAATTATACTCAATAAGGTTATTGTAACATTTTGAAATGCGAAATAAAATATTGCCATTATATTGCATTATCATTTAATAATTTTACACAAATGATACCATATCTATACTAATACTACCTTTCGCCCGCGACTCAGTCCGCGTGGTATTTAAAAAAAACAAAAGTGTAGTATATGTGTTCTTCCAGACTATTCTATACATGTATGCCAATTTTCATCCAGATTCGTTTAGGCTACAAACTCTAACAAACATCCATCCATCCTTCTAAACTTTTGCATTTATAATATTAGTATGAAGTATGATTATAAAGAGAAAAGATTTACATTTTCTGTATTGTTGTCAAAAACTACTTGACCGATTTTTAAAATTCTTTCTCCAAATCACTACGTTATCACTGAGTAGCAAAAACTATATTGATTTTAAAAAAATCCGCGCACGAAACCGGGAGCAACATCTAGTACATAAGAGGCAACATTATACATATTTAATGAAAAATCATTTTAAATAACGCAAAGATTAACTATTAAGAGAGTTTTAAAATGCAGATAGTTAAACCTCGTAAAAGTCTGTAGAAATATTAATACTTCATTTTTACTTTAAATCCGATATCTATACTTCTATACTATTATAATAAAGCGTAAACACACACTTCTTTGTTGCCTAAGATGTCAGCAATTACAACATATTTTAGAATAATTCTTTTTTCATTAAAATACCCTACACTTACGTCACGCTTTAGGCTATATATTTTTACGCCATTAAACTTAGGGGTAAATATTTTGGATGAAAACCCTAATGCGGGAAAGAGACTATAAGTTGCTGCCAACATCAAGGAATCAATTGCCATGGTTTGTCAAGTCATGTCATTTTGAAAATTGCAATTGATTATTTGACAAATGTAAACAATAAAATGAAATTTTTATAATTTTATGCGGATGGAGTCGCATGGGAACAGCTATATTTCATATTTGGTGTTATAAAATTAAACAATTAAAAATATTACAATCTAATTAAGTAACATTTAAGCGTGTTTTATATTAAAGCTAATAATTAAGAGAGCCAGGAATGAGGCCAATTTTTACATACTTCAAAGTTTTCTACAATACAAAATGTCATGTGATATAGTTTATTGGATTTTATGAAAAGCTAAAAACTGGGTATTAATACCACGGTTAAGTACATAGACTACGAACGTTTCTTTTAAATTAGTTAATTGCATTGCCACTAAGCATTTAGCTATTCTAATTAAACCTTATGTTAATTGTTGATGTTTACTACCGTAACTTTCATACGAAAAGCTTGTTTTTGTATGGATGTTTTGGTAGTAAGTAATCTGTACACTAGAGACAATTTTACAGAACATTAGGGAACATTTCGTGTAAGTACTAAATATTGCACCAAATACTTAACTACTAAATTCATTTAACTACTCACTTAACCAAAGCTAAATTCGAAATATAAGTACATTAAGCATTAGCTAAAAATTCATTTCAGTTACTTTTTTCACAGATTATAAATACTCATGTCGATTCTCTTATTTTTTAATCTATGCCCAAATTTTGACAATAAAATGACATGAATATTTTTTATGACGATAAATTAAAAATAAAATAAACAAAAATAAACAGAATTTTAGAGATACTTTTAACATTAAATGTTCTGTGTACTAATATCAATATTGCTACAAATTGAATAAAGTTTTCATCATAATACATATTACACTTTACACTAATAAATTATATGTTTGTTTAGAAGACTATTGCTAAATTATTAAAGTTATTTAAATTTATAAAATGTTAAATAACAATCAGATACTTACTAACTAAAATTATAGATTAAATATAGTAAAAACCAAAGGCTATTGTCTATGGTTAATATTCTATTATATACTTCTTTGCAATGAGATTCATTGGAATACATTTTGTTGTAAAATATGAAATATGTGAAATTTACACAAAATTGTAAATTAATGCATTCATTAAAGTCAAATAATTATTAAGAACGACTTAAATCTTCCTTTGAGGACTCTGATTTCATTTATTACAAAAATAAAATGATTTAAAACCTAACATTCAAAATGCTTAGTGACTTCTTTCCTTTAGGAAAAGATCAAATCTAACAAATAGGGGCCACTCGGATAAAAAGTTTTTTGAAGTACTTAGTTCAAAACTGACATAAAGATTCACTAGAACAAAATGGGTTTGTGTCAATTTTTCCTTCTGATGACAATATGACATAAATGGACAGTCTACTTAAGGATGTGAATTAATGAATCACTGTCAGAATTGCAAAAATTTCAGCAATCAATTTAAGCTAAAAAGCCTATCATTTGTTAAAAAAAAAAAACTTACGCGCCAAAATTTCTGCAACTCTATGCCAGTTAATCTATGGTTGATAACAGAAAGGGCATAGATTAAAAACATACCGTTACATAGCTTCACTCTTGTTGTTCTTCTGGGTCAGTTTGCTTAATGTACTCAGCTGTGGGAAGGCAGTTTTATTTTGTACAGGATTCAAACGAGTTGTCATAAATATAAAAGGCTCGTAGAGTGAGGGCCGATCCATAGCGGACACTTCGAAGTGCCGTATCTTCTCCCGTGCGCACCAATTGGATGCCTTTGAACATGTATTCTCCAGACTGTTTACATCATCAGGACCAGTTCTATTTCCAATTACCATCATAACAACCTGGTGATTGCAGAAAGGTTTTAAGATCACTATCAATATTACACATTTATTAGTAATTCAATGTTAAATTACTGTACTACTTTGATCTTAAAGTAGAAAGCTAAATTAGGGTCATAAGAATACACAATACTACCAAGTTGCTTGAAAGTTGAACTTTTATTTAACTATAAGCTTTCGACTGTAACTCTATCTGCATAAAAAAAAATAAGAAAAAAGCAACTATGTGTACCTCCAGACTATCCTCTACATTTATGCCAAATTACCTCAAGAACTGTTCAGTGGTTAAAGCTACAAACTCTAATAAAAATCCATCTAAGCTTTTACATACTAAAATGATAAATGCGAAAGTTTAGATTGATGGATGGATGTTTGTTAGAGTTTGTAGCCTAAACAGCTGAACGGATCTCGATAAAATTTGGCATAAACATAGAGGATAGTCTGGAAGAACACACAGGCTACTAACTTTTGTTTCTTAGAACTCTGCACAGATGGAGTCATGGGCAAAAGCCAGTTTATAATATTAGTTATATTGGTATGGAACCTACAAACAAGTTCCAAGCACCATTATAAAAGCAGCCATAGTCCTCATAGAACAATGGGGTAATATTTCACTAGTGACATTCTTGAATAGTAATATTCACCTCTTTCTTATCCTTGTTTCTATCAATATCTTTTTTCAGGTACATAAGAACATCAAGTGATTCAGGCCTTGTGGTGTCGTAAACCATCACAAAACCCTCCGCAAAGCCAAGATAGTGCCGCTGCAGTACTTGATTGGAGGTCAACTGCATTGTTGGGGATTGTGGGGGACCTGAAAAATAAATTATAACTCCATACATACTTCTTTACATTAAGTAGACAAAGGCAAGTTTAATAAGAAGCAAATGCAATTATATTGTATGTTGGATAAAATATTTACATCAATAAAAAGAAATAATATAACTGCCTAAAACTAATTCAGCAACTAATTTTATGATTAAAGCAAAAACATGAGATTTAAATCAATTTTTAAGAATTTTGGGATACTGTCATGTGTATACTTAAATGTGTTTCCTAATTATATAACAAGATAGCATAGCAAAACAAAACTACAGTAAAATTAAAACCTTTTAACTCGCCTGTTAGCGGCGGCTCTAGTCCCGCAGTATCATAGAAACAGACGCGTTCCTTTGAACCTCTATCCGTCTCAATATTAGCTACATAGATATCTTCTATTGTTGGATAAAAACATGACTTTAGATTCACATTACCGTATATAAGCTGCTCTAAAACAGCAGTTTTACCGACCCCTTTCATACCACAAACTACGACTTTGCTAGTTTTGCCCATTTTTTCTTAAAAAATATTCTAGCAACGAGCCAACTGTAACTTTCACTTATCTTCCATACCGTGATAATCCTAATACTCAAGCAATAAAAACATTTAAATACAAGCTAATTGAACGCTGCACATTGATCACTGGTTACAAATGTAATACACCATTGCTTTAATTCATTTCTTAATTTTATGTTTACGTAAACACTGCATTTCAGAAAACAGCCAAATTAATTTGACATTTGATGTAATGACAATTGATAAGACAACTTGACAAATCTATCAAAGAGTGCGTATAGATATTTATTTTACTGATATAAAACATGCTGTTGTTAGATTACTTCAGTATGTGCACCAGTAACACACCAATATTCTTTTGTTCCAAAAGCTCGTGTACCATATTACATAAAGTTAATGCTTATGCTTATTGAAAACACACACCAATCAGACTGACTCATGGAATTTGTGGGCTGTGCGTTGTGTTATTTTGATTTGACATAACTTTGACATTTGACAGCATGGCGGCTGCTACAGTGGATTCCGAAATCACAAAGATAGATAAATATTCCATTTTACTTCCTACGTATAACGAAAGAGAGAATTTGCCTATCATAATATGGCTTATTATGAAGTATTTAGATAACAGGTAAAGTAAATGTTGCAAAAATATGAGCACTGTTACAAAAACATTACTACTAGAAACACTTGTCGGTTTTCTTGCAGTGGCTACGATTATGAAGTGATAATAATTGATGACGGAAGCCCCGACGGTACTCTAGAAGTTGCTAAACAATTACAGAAACTGTACGGTACGACCAAAATAGTTTTAAGGCCGAGGGAAAAGAAGCTGGGATTGGGCACAGCATATATACACGGTATACAACATGCGACTGGAAACTTTATTGTTATTATGGACGCTGATTTAAGTCACCATGTAAGTCATTTATTAGGGAATATTTTATCATACTGAAATTTATTAAAGTGTTAAGATTCTTATTAGAATGGTAGATAATGAATAAATAATTCTTGAAAGAAGTTAAAGAAAGATTTTAATGTTTATTTTGATGACGAACATTTTTAGAGCAAAGTCCCCTAATTATTTAAGTTTATTTATAACTGTATTCCAATTCTTAAAAAGATCTAGAAACATGTATTTCTGTAAATACCTATTTGTACATAAAGTAGAGGAAGACTGGATTAAGCATGGATTGGATGTGTGACAGAGGATATGCTGAAGAAGGGAGTGAATTCAGATATCACGACTGATATTGATATATAGAAGATTACATACTGTGTCAACCATTCTTAGTGACTAGGGCAGGTTGATACTGACATCTTAAATTCTAATTTGTCATTGTAATTAAATATTTGTTTATTTCAGCCTAAGTTTATACCAAAATTTATTGAATTGCAAAGAAAACATGATTTTGACCTGATATCTGGTACTAGATATAAAGGAGGAGGTGGTGTCCATGGATGGGATTTCAAAAGGAAGCTGATATCGAGGGGTGCTAATTTCATCACACAGTTACTGCTTAGGCCTGGAGCTTCAGATTTGACTGGTTCATTCAGGTAAAGTGCTTGCATATTGGTAAAGTGTTTGAACATCTTTGCTAGATTGTTATCTATACTTCTATACTAATATCATAGAGAAGAAAAATTTGTATTTTTGGATATTTGTATGTATTGAAGTAACTCAAAAACTACGGGGCCAATTTCGAAAATTCTTGCACTATTTATCACTGAGGTTATAGGTTATGATTTTATTATTATAATTTTTTAATTTCATGCAGACAAAGTTGCAAGGAACAGCTAGTTTACTTACATTTCTTGATATTTTTAAGAACTACCTTTTAATTATTTGAAGTCATTTAATTTTTATCTAACTAATATTATGAATGTGAAAATTTAAAGGATGGAGCAATGGATTTTTGTCAGAGTTTGCATTAAAACTGCTGATATATTCTTGGATAGACCTATTCTTCTGGAAGAATATATAGGCCATTGCTTTTGATTTTTTAATTCCACATGGATGGAGTCATGCACCAAAGCTAGTATAATTGATGTTAACTGAAGTGTAGCAGTTATATAATCTATTACAATATTCCAGGTTGTACAAGAAGGATGTGCTAATGAAATTGATAGACAGCTGTGTATCTAAGGGCTACGTTTTCCAAATGGAAATGATTATAAGGTATGTTTTTAAAACTTTTTAATTGCTCTATGGGTTACCACCAAAATATCTAAACAAATATCATAACTTATGTGTTCCTTCCATGTAATATTTGCACAATAGCATAAATAATTCCATCAAAGAATTAATAAAATATAAATAATATAATACAATAAGATTTGTAATTCAGCATATATGTGTTGCTATGACTTTTCACTGACATATTATTAACATACTATCAATTGCTGCTGTTCGTGACCTCGTTGTTCAGTGGAAAAGGGGTTTAAGTTTTATTAGAAGTTATTTAACAGTAAATGAGACATACAAAACTATGCAATCAGTTTGACTGACATATCTCGGAAATATAAAATAAATGAAACCATGTAGTATATAGACTATCAAATGAATGTAATAACTTGGTGTATTTTGTGATATTTCAGAGCGAGACAATTGGATTATTCAATAGGTGAAGTGCCAATTACATTTGTGGACAGAGTGTATGGAGAATCCAAGTTAGGGGGATCAGAGATTGTACAATTTGCTAAAGCTTTGCTATACCTTTTCGCGACAACATAATATGTTTTTATTGTAATAATCATTCCATTTATTTAATAAAATTATCTATTTCAAATATTGCTATTTTATTTGTGAACTCAATTTTTTCTTAATATTTTCGTCAAACAGTATAACCTGGCTTTTAAATACCTTGTTGTTAAACTTTAATACGTTGTAGTCTTGATCCTACTCTTTCTTACTACCATTTGTGTCCGTGCAACAACGAAGCGTTTAAAATTGAGCTTTATGCAATTGACAAAAGGGTTAATTTAATAATTATTGATATTTTTTATAAAGAGAAGGGTTAAAAAAGACGTGTTATGGAAAATTAAACCTTATTTCAGTTGCATAAAGCTTAATTTTATTTTGCTAAAAATCTCAGCTGCTCAACGCTGGTATGTGAAATGGACCCTTATTTGTCTAGTTGCTATCTCTTTTCCATCGAATTTTCTCTGTCTATCCCGCTTTATTACAAACGATTATATTTTTTTTTTCAAACTAAGCTTAACATAAAATACATGATCATACTAATGAATGCGAAAGTTTGGATGGATGTTACATATTTCCAAAACGCTTAAACGTATGACGGTATTTGTCACGGATGTAGAACGTAGAACAATCTGCAAGAATTCATTGGCTATTAAGATATTTTTATTTCCGCGTTGCTCTCGCGGAAATAAAAAAAGGTTTGTCACTAATATTCTCTCGTAAGTTCGGCGTTCACACTACTTGAAATGTAAGTATACTTTTATGCCTTTTTATAAAGGTTGTGTAACTTTCTACTAAAATCACCTATACATCGATGTGAACGTATCGTAAGACGTAATATATGAAGCTAGAAACAATAGCAACACACTCTTATTTGCGCAAGTGTTCAAGCGTAACCGAAGTACCCTAATAATTAGTCATTTTGCTTACGATCGTGTACACAGTCATGTTTCTCTACGTTCTTATTACTTATCAAGTTTTACTTGCTTCTGGAAAGATATTGAATTTTCCAAGTAAAGGAAATATCGATTTGGATAATGGTATATCAATATCGGATAAACCTACAACAACTTTAACGCATTTCGAAGAGTGGGATGATACACTATGGGTTTTGAAGTTAAACGATGGATTGAATTTGACGAATTTAAGATCGGCAACTGAAAGCGAAGAGGAATATTTCGACGACGAAATTGGACCAATGATACACAGGTGTGTTTTTAAAATAAAAAATAATTTTGTCTATAGTTTAAAACCATAGATTCTCAAGCTTGTTTTCTTGTTAGATCCCCTTTAAACACAGGTAAGTCTCGGTTAAGGTGTCTTCTGCTATATCTCAATTGCAAACTTTAAATATTTTTTCCGACCATTATACAATTTCACCGGATCTATCGTAGACAATAGGGTGAACTAAACCACTTTGGGAATTATTGAAAATCTTACTATATTGGTTTATTGTTTTAATTTTGTTCCAGACATCCTCTAGCATACTTGAGTTACAAAAGACGACAAAACACAAGAAGAGTAAAAAAAGACGACCCAAAGAAATCATATCCAATTGATCATATCTTCAAAGATGTACATCTAACGAATGAAAAAAATGAAGAATTTAATAACGAAGTTAAAAACGCAGTTATGCAGATGATCAACAAGTTTGTGTAAGCAATAGCACCTTTTTTATATTCCAATTAAATCTATCTGTATTTTATTAAACAAATATACAATTTCAGATTATCGTTTCAAAAACAACCTGATTCTAATTTACCTGAAACTATGGACGCATACGAAACTCCAACGTTAACCGTAAGTTAACTTTAACACATGGATATAACGTATTTTTGTCTCTGTTTTATTTTAAAGAATGAAAAGGATGTCTACATTATTTGTGTAATAGATAAGGCAGTGGTTTTGCGTAAACCTTGACTAAGAACATAAAAACTCACCTCTTATTCTGGATAAATCTTTGTGCACATTAATTTTAAATACAATATAATGTAAGAAGCCGATTGAATCGGCCTTATGACCGAATTTTATATCCTTGATTAGGTTACAAGATAACAGAGCAGTAGGTTGTGTTCACATGTGGCGAAAGCACATCCCGGGAAATGTTCGCTTTGGTAATATTCCCAGAAGCCTGTAATATTACTAGTGGTCCCCGATTATTGTACCACAAATCTTGTAATCAAGTATTTTTATTATTGTTGTTTAAAATAGCTTATTGTACTTATTCTCCAAGTTGACATTACATTTTCAAGTACAATCCTTTGCTCAATATTCTGAAAAGTGGGGTTCACCTCACTTATTTATAACATTTATCAATTTTTTCAGCTGTATTTTAAAGGACCTTTTACAGCGTTAATAGTGAATTACCAGCGCTTGGTATGGCAGTTTTTTCTCAAACCTCCGTCACCACTTCCCGAATGGTTCTACAACGAGCATTCCAATATAACCCTTGGTAAAAATGGAATGTATGTAGCAATCCCAGGCGTTATTAAGGAAGAATTTTACGAGAAACTCCTTCATTTGTTAGAAAAATTATTCAGCTTTCCAATTTAATTATATAACATTTCGATAATTACTTGTTTATAAAATCTATTTTCTCATACTAAACAAGTATATGTTTATGTTATTTTAAAAATGTTTTGTTACATTACTGCCGAATATAAACATCTAAACGCAGCATGCTTTGTTTTATTTCTATTATCTCCTATAAGAGAATCTCGATTAACCTAAAAATAATTAAATTAAAAGATTAATTCGAAATCGTTAGAAATCGATATTTATTAAAAATGGACAGCACGATTGCGATTATTTTAATCTATAAACGCAACTGACATTTGACAGTTGATAGTTGTTTTTACATTCGCAAATTTTCGCTTTCCGCCATCCTACGTTAAAGTTTTTGCAGTTGCATTTAATTGCATTATTAAAATTCGTACACTAAAGTGTTTGCGTAACTGATGTAGGGAAATTTAAACATGGGCCTTAGCTACTTCGAGAATGTGGGATATTTCTTACGAAACTGCAATGGTAAAACTTTGCGTTACGACCAAGCATGCTTGCAAATTATAACAAATGAGCAATTATCCTTCTGGAGTCAATACGAGGAATGCGAGGACTGTATCTTGTTGAAGACAGCGGATTTAAATCATACTGGAGATGTCGTGATAGAGACATTCAGCCCTCTCCGTTATTTGGTACAAAATGAACAAGGTCGCAGTTGCAATGGTATGTCATTTCTTTGTTTTTGTGTGTAAATTTTGCAACGTTACAATTTTGTTTTGGTGAATATTTATTTACGCAGAGTCTTAACGTGTAAATTGATTATATAAATACGACATAGATAGAAACAAAATTTTAAATAATGTTGCAGTGTTTGCACTATCATTTGCCATCGTTTCCAGGTCATGTTATGAATCATCGTATATGTCATTGTAGTATAAACAATAATTGAATCTCTTTATGCCACAGTTTATCACTATGTAATGAATTAAAATGCATATTACCTGTTATATTTATAGATTCAGGAAGTATATGTGTATAAAAGAGTAAACTGATTAACCAACTGATTGATTAATCAGGAAAAACAGTTATAAGGGGACTATATTCATATCGAAACATTTACAGTCTTACAAATAAATGTGGTGTAAAGTTAAACATAGAAATAAACTGAGTATAAGCAAAATTTGTACTAATTTTTGCTTATAGCCATTTTATTCCTAAGTTTAACACATTTATTTGTAAGGCTGTTTATGCTTTTGCACATAGATAAATATATGTGTTGTATAGCAATGTATTATCTGTGCTAGAACATTAACTACACTTTTTAAACAATATTACTTAACTATTTCATACAGTTTTCATAAAATAACTGAAAATGTCAAACAATATGGTAGATATATATGAATTTGACATTCCTTGGTTTAATTATTAAAATTTAATATATGTTTAGTTATTTTTTAAGTGTCCTAAGTAGATATTGTTTACATAAAATAGTAAACATTTTCTACTCTTTGTGTTATTATTTACAATTCAATGCTTTGTTTACATTTCAATGTTATCTTGATTACTATGAAACAATCTTGATGTCTTTCATACAGTAAGCATATAATAGCTTATCTATATTTGACAATTTTGTTTGGAATGATAACGTTTTTATAACCAAATAAGATAATTTTATAAAAATGTTTATATTATGGAATCCAAACCTATTTTTCTTATGGCAATTTCAAAATGTTAATGGTTTATCCAAACTCTTAAATTTTCTTTTAAATTTTCCTCATTATTTTCGCAAAACTAACCTTTCTATATTTTGAAGTAGCAAATTAGTGAGTAACAACCTAAATTATGTCAAACTAGATGTTCCAGTTTGACTTCATCCCCATGAAAATTGGAAAATTTTATTTTGTTCACATTTGTCAAATGATTAAAAGCAAATGTCAAAATGACATGACATGACAAACCTTAGCAATCTTTCTTGACGTTGGCAGCAACTTATGGTCTCTTTTCCACATTAGGGCTTTTATCCAAAATATTAAGCCCTTAAGTTTAATGGCGTGAAAATATACAGCCTAAAAGAAGGTAAAGGAAAGGTAACTACATTTAAATTTGAATTCAAAAAACATTACTTCCTGACAATGTGCCAATCAGAGTGATTTAGAATCATAAATAGTAATGGGGGTAATATGCCATGAATGACCTCATTTAAAATCTATAATATCTAACTACCCTTCATTGTTCAAGATGTTTTTGTAAATTTCCTTGTTGACTGTTTGTCACAAAAGTGATTATTGTATTGAAATGTTGATATACATTTCTTGTGAGTCGCATTGAAACAAAGGCAATGTGATCCAATTATAGTAAAATCATGTTAGTTGAATATGCTTAAATCCTCCTATATACTTTAAACCCGTAAGTCCGAACTGAGCATATACAGTAGGCTTAAAATGTTTAGTATTACAAATTTTTTATGTTACTAGCTGTTCCCATGCGACTTCATCTGCATAAAATTGTGAAAACTTTATTATATTGTTTGCATGTGTTAAATTATCAATTGCAAATGTCAAAATGACATGGCATGATGACGAACCATGGCAACTTTCCTTCCTTGAAGTTGGCAGCAACTTATGGTCTCTTTCCCACATTAGGATTTTTATCCAAAATATTTACCCCCTCAGTTAAATTGCGTGAAAATGTATAGCCTAAAGAGTGACGTAAGTGTAGAGCTTTTTATTAAAAAAATAATTATTCAAATATATGCTGTAATTGCTGACATCTTAGGCAACAAAGAAGTGTGTGTTTACGGTTTATTATAATAGTATTGGTTGCACTGGAGGTGTTAAAATTATTGAACAAACATTAAAAAAGGGGTTATTTTTGCTGGTAGTTTCTATTTATTTAAATTTCATTAACAAAACATTATAAATGTACTACATATCACATATAGAAGCAACACATAAGCAATGCAGATATTTAAAAGCGGCCACTTCGCTATTTCGTCGAATTCCGGTGACCTCTTGACTATACACCACATCCTTTTAGCCTATAAATTTCTGATTTGGTTAATTTTTAATACATTTTGTTAACAGGAACATATGCCTTTGGTGAGTTTGGACAGTACTCGCTTAACTTAACAAACGGTTGGCCTGCGGAATGCCAACCTCGGATG